AAATTTAAGTCTTGCTAACTTCATCAAACTGTTGTGAAGTGTCTTCACAACACTCCTCTAACCTCAGCCACTTTCTCCTGTTTTTTGTAGGAGCCATATAGCATCCCCCTCCTCTTACTCTCCACTGTCTAACATGAACAAGCTTCATGCCCACGGAGGCCTCAGCAAACAGCCCTCAGTCAACCAGCTGGTGGGGCAGCAGCCCCAGCAACACCCCTCTGCCCCCACCTCCATAGCTCATATGGGTGAGTATCTATTTGTGTGATTCAAATTAGATGGACTCATAAAGCATGTTTCAAACAAATTTGTTGTAAAGATTTTTGATCAGAAAATATTAATGCTAACAGAGCCATTATAGTACCGTTCTTTATGCTATTTTGCTGTTCATTGTTTTATTGATCACCCCTCCCTTTCTCACAGGTTCAAACATGCTCAACAGCCACCACATGCAGGCCAATGGTGATATGAATGGTGGACACAGCAGTCAGACTATAGTGTCTGCTTCCCACTGCAGCCCACCCCCTCCGTATAACCCTGACCCCAGCCTTGTCAGGTACCTCACCCTCCAATGACACTCCTTTATCCTCCTGTAAAGCGCCAGCAGACAATCAGATTCACTTGTTGGGTTAAATATGAATGGGACCCATGTTGAAGCCAAAACAGCTAACTTGTTTGGCCATGTTCTTCCAAATCTGGTCATACAGTTTTTGGAAAGGTTCCCTTTTGTAGCAAAAATGTGTCTAGATGGAACTGTGTTATACAGTCTATTTGATTTAATTATGGCTGCTTTCTAAAGGCTTGTGATTGCCTCACAAATCTCCTCACAACCATGGCTGGTGCCATGAAGGTCCACTGGGGAATTGGCTGCATGGAAATAATGTCTACACATAATAGAGCTGGAAAGATACCTTACCTGGAAAGGTTGTGTTATAGGAGTAGGTTCATTTAGTGGTGTTTTAAGTAAAAGGGAAAAGTGTGTGAGCTCCTACTAGTTGCGTACAGTAAGTGTCTATATCAGATGTGTTGATCAGCTTCCATTAAAAAAACAGCACATTGATCATGTCTATTTACTCTGGTCACACAGCCAAGCTGCTCAAGAGTTGTAGGCCTCCACTATGGAAGCCAGAGGGTTTGTTATGTCACCCAAAAGCCCAAGGTGTTTCACACACTTACATCTAAAATGATTCACACTGTCACTGTGTATACAGCCTTCCTTTGCAATGCACTACTGCGAATTTTCTTCAAAAGAAATTTCCATTGTTTAAGTTCTGTTTAATTTTAATTTTTTCATAGTCTAAGATAATGTGTCAATACAGTCGTTTTAATACTTTGCTTTTGCAGTTTTAACATTTTTTAACATGTTTCTAGATTGTTATGTTTATTGTACAGTTAAATTGCACAACTAGCTTTTTTTTCGATTACACTGTATGTTGCCAAAACTTTAACATTTCATGTATTTATAATAAAGGTTCTTCATCAAAGCAAGAATGGCCTTATGAATCATTAATAAAAATGCATGTTTATGATTTCACTTCTACTGCATCCATCAAGATGTATAGTTTTTGTACACTTGAGGCTAGGTCTGTGCCCTAATTCTTTCACTCAGTTTTTAAAATAAACTAACAATAGCTTGAGTAGATAGTGAGGTAATGATGTAACATAACAGAATGAGGTGCTTTTCTTTCTTCTGTCTAAAAATAAATGCTGACCCTAATTATGAAGTTAGGATATTCTTTATTCCACTCGAGCACAACTGCACTTTTCATTAGTGTTAATGAAGTGAAATGATTTATATATTATAGTCCTATTTTCAGCTTTGTAGCTGTGGTCTAATGGCAGTCTAAGCAGCCCTGCTTTTCTCCCCATACAGTTTTCTAACCAGTCTGGGCTGTCAGAACTTCATTGAGTACTTCACCTCCCAAGGCCTCCAGTCTATCTACCATCTCCAGACTCTCTCCATGGAGGTAACCACTCCGTTCCTGCACTCACAATCTCACAGTGAAAATAATAACTATAATAACAAATTATATATACATTTTGTGTATAGAGCTTTATATAAAATAAAAAAAAAGATGAAACAGTTAAGGAAAGAAAAAACAAAAGTGAACAGAAAACAAAAAATCCATGTCTTACTAAAGGTACAGAGGCCCCATTTTTTTTGTGTATAAGAAAACACATGATGCACTCTTATTGTTTTCCGCCTTCTTTTCGTCGTTTTTTCCACCAATCTCATCAAGTGTCTAACTTTGTGCCTTCACCAGGATTTAGGTGCACTGAAGATACCGGAGCAGTCCCGCCTTGCCATCTGGCGAGGTCTGCAGGACATGAAACAAGGTGCTCCCCTCCAACTGCCTGCCTCTTCTCATCACCATGACTATCATGGCCAGCAGCTTCTTCGCTCCAGCAGCAACATGGCTGCCTCTGCCATGGCGGCCATCGGGGCTGCCGGTGGGGAACTGCAACGTCAGCGCGTCATGGAAGCTGTGCACTTTCGTGTCCGCCACACCATCACCATCCCCAACAGGTCAGGGGTCGTTGGGTCGTCAGGGATGGCAGCAGCTACCGATGAGTGGGCTGACTTTGGTTTCGACATGCCCGACTGCAAGCTGTCACGTAGCAAGCACTCCATCAAGGAGGAGTTCATGGAAAGCGATGTTCACTGAGCCAGAAAAGAATCTTTGGACTGTTTTGCCAATATTATTATCAGCGTCAGCCTATGTACTGAGTAATAAGCATGTGGATAGGGTCTTTAAATGTCCTTTTAGGTGTTACTGTCGTATTTCAGTCAGTGATGATTTTGCGGAGAATCAAGTTCCATTTTGAATGTGGGACATTTTCAGTGTGTTAATGCACTTTCCTGTGCAATCTTTATTTTTGTGCTTGAACAATTGTTCCGCCCAGAAGATTCAACATGAGATAACACATGTGGACGTCTCAAGTCTAAATAGCAAATACCACTGTGGCAATAGCATTGTCAAGGCAATGCTAAACACACATGGCCTGGACTACACCTTTTTGGGACTCTGATAAGTGCGTGTTAAAAGAGGGAAATGTTATTTTTTTTCTGGAAAATAAGATATTGTTTGGTTGCACTGTGCAATAATACATGACACATTTTCCTTTTACAGCATCTAATTACATTTATGGTGAACATGAAATGTAGCAAATGTACAAGGTCACAGTAGATGTATCACCACGTCGAAACTTGCTAGTTTCAATTTTGTGTTTGAATTGTTCTCAGTTGACTTATTTATTGTTCTCTCAGTTTTCCTTCACTTGTACAAATGTATATATTGTATCCTGTAAATGTTTTGGACTAGATGTGTTAGAGAAGGGGTATTTAGATTCAAAATGGTATATCTCCTGTTTGAACCAAATGTATAGAATTGAATGGTAAATCAATCTCACAGCTAAGGCAAGACATAGTCATTTATATTTTTAATGACTATGATAATGTGATGACCTCTAGTTCAGTATGCCCGTTTCATTTCATTGTTTAAAATTGTTCATGGGCTCTGGTATTAACAGTGTGTATTCATGGAAACTCCTAATGGAAATCACTAAATATCAGAAGTTAGACATTGTATCCATAACTTTCTTATTAAGTCATAGGAAATACTGTTATAATTCTTGTATAAAACACATTGCAAAATCAGTATTATATCTGAACAGCAGGGACTCAATCAGAATTGTGAATGATAAACTAAGAATAGCATCCCTGTTTACCAAGACACTAGATAAGACAGTAGCGTCCTTTTGTCCTTTCCTGTGTATTTTGAAAACCTTGCAGGGCAAGGTCCTCACATATTGATTATAGCTAGTTGTGTACCTAGTGTAATGTATCAAGTATGGCACTTGTTTGTGGATATCAATAGCAACATTCCAGTTTTATTTCTTGATTGCCATCCAGCATGATTAATCATGGTTCAATTATATTAATGGTGTAAAAATTGTTTGTAGTAACACATACATAAATTTGTACCATGATAATAATTTGTACCTATCTTGCAGCCATTTTCTTTTGATTTACAAACACACATACTTTCACCCACTTACCACCAACTGGTCAAAGAAAGAGCACTTTAATGCTTTAAAAGTAAAATTATTTAGGATTATTTGTGCTTATGATCAGTATTATGCATTACCACAATGTAAATAGAATTAGTGCTTGTTTTGATATTCCTGGTAAGTTTTTTGTTACACGTTTTGTAAAGATTATTAAGATGTGTACCTATATAACAATTGCTGTTCATCACTGTCCATTAGTTTCAAAGGTTGTTACATTGTGTTTTTTCTTAAAATCATGGATATTAAAATATTTGCCTTCCTTTAATCTCTCTCTTCATCAAAGTCAAAGCTAAGGTGTTATTTATGTATATTACTCGAACAGAGAAGTGTAGGCGCTGGGCTGCAGTCATATCAAGGCTCTTCATCGTTCGCCGTTCTCGGGGCTCGACCATCCCGGCTGCCGTATCTTCGAATCCTCACGGAAGTACTGACGTGTTCACACCAGTTGTGGCTAGTTTAGCTAGCTAGGTAGAGCCGGTAGTGACACAGCGGCCGTATCAGGTAAGAAAGGACTGTCATTGATTCTTTTCACTACAATTACAAACACAACCGAGAGACGCACACAGGTAATGAACTTAAGACACGCATTTCAAAACTACTGTATAATTGAGTGAGTGCGGATGTGGCTACGAGGAGATAGTTTGATTTCTAGCTGGGCTAACTGGGCTAGCTGTGGATCCGTTGGCAACGTAGTACTGTGTCTCCGGAAGTGAGTTGTCAGATTATCAAATGTCTTGATGGGACTTGTAGTTCAACGTCTTCATGATAAACATTCGTTGCAATGCAGAGCGAGGGAGTCAGGAACTACATTTTTTATTTCAAGGGTTTCATGCGCTCTTCGCTGGAGTTGTGGGAAATGTAGTTGCACACGTCCATGTTAGGCCCGATGAGCGTTAAATGAACTTTACTAAAACTACATAACCCATGTAAACGCTAATTTAGGCGAAAGGGCAATGTACATTTAGATGGCTAGTTAGCTAACGTTACTTCGAGGGCTAATTTGTAAGCTAACGTGAGTAACTTCCAAATAATGTCACCGACGAAACGTTAGTATCTGTTATTGGACGCTTTTTTTCACTCGTAGCCATGTTGTGGTTTTACCAGAGAGCCTGGTTTGATGTAATATAACTTATTAGGTGCCTTCGGTACTGCCTGAACCTATTCGCTGGGTATGCCGCTAACGTTAGCCACAACCACACACAGTCCTACACGGTCTTGCCTTTTTAAGATATCGCTACGTGTCAGATGAATCATTAAAATGAGCTGTAATCGCTGCGACAACACAGTGCGAGTTGGTAATCAAATATCTATAACATGAAGCCAAAGTACAGTTTTAAAGGGGGGGGGGGACCAGATACCGTCGGCTAGCTGTTCGGGGTCCGCTAGTTACAAAGTCAGTGGATCTCTGAAATGTCCAAACTACGAGTAGCCGAAATATGTCGCCATTGGTGAGGTTTCAGTTACAAACATCGTGTCTGAGTTTGTTAGTTTTAACAGAGCAACGATTAGATTTTGTTCTCCAGGCCATTTCTCCCTTTTCCGTAATGGATATCAGTCTGATCTCACCGTGCAATGGTCATGTGTACCTGAGAAAGACACCCATCTGGACTCACTTCATCACAGTGAAAGAGTGCATAAGACTGAGACTGACACCAGATCCTGCAGCTCTGTACAGCTCCACACGATGGTTCTCTATAAAGCTGGTCCAAATAGCAGTATTATGAACTAGTCTTACTGGATGGTTTATTTGTGAGTGCCTTCAGTCAAACAGTTTATGTAGAGTAAAGAACACACCTAGTTACTATACTGGTCTGTGTAGAGAGAAATATCTCATTTTCTCTTTCTGCTGTTTCATATTTTCTTTGGACCACCAGTTGTTTATTCTTAGCACTTTAAAACAACTCACGTTGTTCATGGCTGTTATGGTATTAATGGCCCATAACTGCTATAATCACATCCATATTTACAGGGACCCTTAGGACTATCTCTTGAAAAGGCCTCGTTGGAAGGTAAATTACTTTAACCCATGATACCATGAAGTATTTTATATTTTTCAAAGAACATTTTCATGACAATAATGCTATTAGATTTGTATTTCTTATTTATGAATCACAGCATCATGATTGTAGGTCAGGAATTAGACATGTTTCAGGCATTAAAGTTTGGAGACCGGGTGTACATGTTTCCATTTTAGGAGGGTCTTGTTGAAGTTGTATCCCAAATTCAGGGAAATACGGCACTTAAAAATACCTGCATTTCACACTTACCCCTACAAAGAAGTCAAACATTACTAAACAAAAGACTACAACATGTGAAGTGAATGTCGAAGTGTGTCAAGAGCTGGAAATAGTTCCACTTTGATGTCTTACAAACTTGATTGAAATTGCAGCCAGCTAGATTTGTGCTTAATGGTACTGCCCTCTGCTATCTGACTGTTTCAGGCAGATTAGCCAAGTAGTCTCCATCCATGCATCACTAATCAAAGTGTCTCTTTCTTCACTGGCAGAATGTCAGAAGGGGACAGTGTTGGGGAGTCAATCCATGGGAAACCATCTGTAGTAGCTGCCTTTTTCACACGGATTGGACAGGTAACGCGTCTATCACACAGATCACAACATTACCACTCAACACAATTAAGGAGTTGTTTTTGCACAAACACTGGATTGTCTCATCAAGCAACCAGTGTAATGAGTTTGCCGAGAAGGTAAAAGTTTAAATCGAAGGAATAAATGTAGTTATGCTAGTGGTATTTTATTTTCAGGAATGCTTCTACAGGAATGTTACAGGATGAGTGCAGCTGTACCTGTTATCACACTGCTCATATTTAAAGTTCCTAAAAGTGGAACACCCACAAACGTACACTTCCACCGTAGTGACAGTCATGTACCACACACAGGTGATGTTTCCTTGTCATTTCAGTGGAACCAAGAAACCGATGAACAGCAGTAGTATTTTTAGGTATATTATGTCCTTTGCATGAATTGCAAATAAGCAGCACAGTGTTTCAGTGCAGTACTGTTCTTGCTTTCAGTTTCCTAGTTCCCATCACACATTTGTCACTTCTTAGTAGCTTTGTACTTATCAGTGCTGTCAGTGCATCCTGGCTGTAAGTACGAAGGTGGCAGTCGATTTTTATATGTACAATTGTATTGGTCAGCCAGGCAGAGAAAGACATGGGTTCAAGTGTTAAGGGATACTCGTATATAATTAGGGCACTGACAGTCATGGGGTGATCAGTTAATATTCAGTATCCATCTCCACAAAGTGAAAACGATAGTGTTTTTTAGAAGCTCTGCAAAGGTTGTGTCTTAGTTGATTATTGGTGATATTCTTTACCTGTGATGGCTACATCTTGTGTCCTTTTTATTGTAACAGGTCTATCAGTCATGGCTAGACAAGTCAACACCTTTCTATGCAGTGCGGTGGACAGCCACTCTACTACTCACTGCTATCTACATGATCAGAGTGTACATACTACAGGTAATTTATATGTTTTCATTTCAGTTTTCCCCCAGTGTACTATATTATTCTTTGCTCAGGGAAGTCACTTTGTAAATAGTGCAATTCCATTACAAAATAATTCATTCCCCTGCAATGTCCAGTTTTTGAGACTGTTTGACTGAGAGTTGTTCATTCACTTGTACTAATTAATTACTCGTCATATGTGCGGTTGTTGTACTGGAATGTATTATATTTAAGGCTCATTGTTTTTGGTTTCTGCTGATTTTCACCAAAGGAGAAAGATTGGCTCTGGGGACGCTCAATCTTTTTTTATGTGCTTGTGACTCAGTTGTCAAATTAGTGATGTGTGTTTTACATTTCTGTCTACTTGGCCTGTTCTGTTTCCATGAAATGTTTCCATAGTTTTTACTAACAAAGTTGTACTTTTAAAAGCCTTTTAATGTTCATGTTCCTTATGCTGCTTTTTGTTTTTTGTTTTTTTCAGGGTTGGTATATAGTAACATATGCTTTGGGAATCTACCATCTCAACCTGTTCATTGCTTTTCTATCGCCAAAAGTGGATCCTTCACTGCTTGACGAAGGCAAGTTGACACAATTCAACATGTGTACTAGATTAAATTCATAGTTGAAAATGTGTAACTTGTAACAAAAAAATGGATTCAAGCAAAGAATAGAGTACCACATCCACAAAGTAAAACCTATAACATCCAAGGAAATCACATGTCAGAGTGCAACCCACACTATTAAACTAGTAATCTCTTGGAAGCCAGCACATCATAGCGGTGACTGCTTAGTTTCAAAAACTATTGGAAAGTTGTTTACTCATCTTATGTGGCCTCAACTGATAGATTGTGAACATTATTTAGAGTAGTAAGTTCTACAGTCATTGGGTGTTTTTAAATAAAATATACTTTTTATAGTGTTGTTGTTGTTTTGGCTTGGGACATGGCTGGTGAAGATTTCTCAGTGTAAGTAACTTCTTGTAACCGATCTCTCCTGCAGATGAGGGCCCATCCCTTCCTACCAAGCAGAATGAAGAGTTCCGCCCTTTCATCAGGAGGTTGCCTGAATTCAAATTCTGGTGAGTCCAGCTCTGTGTCCTACAACCGTCCTAAATCCAACTTTCAACTGTCCCAGACTGTACAACCATTGCAACCAAATTTAACTTTAATTCAACACAATGAATATAGTTTAATAACTTTGTTTCTGGTCTGCCATGGAAGCTTTGCTAATTTTTCCTGCACTTATATCTGAATAAATAAATTGTAATCCACAATTTGTTTACATTATTCTTTGTCATTGGTTACGTTACTGTTTCCTGTTTATTTCTGTTTGATCACTGTAAAACTGCAGTGCAAATGCAAACTAGCATCTGATTGGTATACGGTGATAGAAATTTCCATACACAGACTCTGAACATTAATATTATTTAGCTAAATAATCACAAACTTGTTGCACGGGCATTGTAAATATTTACAACCTCAAACAATTTACACATAGGCTAAAGGAACACCCTAATCCAGACATACGCAGAGAAAGCTTGAGAGAGAAGGTCAAAACTATTTGCATAAAAGCTATAGGAACACACTGATCCAAAGATCTGGCAAGAAAGAGAGCGAGAGCATGGCACAAGAAGAAAGGGAGACAGAAGAGCTGTAGCCTGCGCTGACTGAGCAGCATGCATGGGAATTAATTAGAATTTTTGTTTTTGAATATGTTTTTCGCCGTTTCCCTGAATGATTGTAAAAGGTTGCTACATTTGTAGCTAGTGGCTTTTTGGAAATAAAGCCCCTAAAATGGTCTGAAAAGTTACAAAATGTAGCGAGAGAGAGACTGGCAACACTTTCTATGATTGATTGTGTGTATAAGCAGGCGTGTGACATAGCATAGAGTTCGTGCCACTTCCCATTTTGTGAATTTAAACACCTAATGTTTAAAATGATATATATTCCATGGTGCATAAACAGAATTTTATTTGCAATGATACATTTCTCTGTCCCAGAATTGTCCCAGACACTATCTTTGTGTCCCAGGTGCTATTTTCTATTGTCCCTGGGACAATGGGACATCCTCAATTTCTAGCGCTGCGCAGAGTGATTGCAGACTATGTTCTTTCGAAACGCCTGTGTGGCCAGCTTTATCCAATAGTTGGTTTTGTTTTATTTTCAGGAAAGCATCAGTGAAGACATATTCCTATATATTTTTTTTTTCATGCTATAAATTCATAAATCCCTCCTCACGTTACTCTCTCCACTGATCCCAAAATGAAATATCCTTTAGTGTCCAGAAACACATGGCATATTCATTAAATGACTGTGGGTTAGAGAAGAGGATGTTGTTAATATATTCTTTATCAATGTCACAACATGTGGTCACACAGTTTTAACTGACATTATATTGTTGTGTTGTTGTTTTGCAGGCATTCGGCGACAAAAGGCATCGTCATCGCCATGATTTGCACATTTTTTGATGCCTTCAATGTGCCAGTGTTCTGGCCTATACTTGTAATGTACTTCATCATGCTCTTCTGCATCACCATGAAGAGGCAGATCAAGGTAAAAATTATACATCATACATACTATCTAGTAGTGTATGTGTGTGTATACACATTGTGGCTATACTGAAGTCACAGTGTAATGCAGTGTATAATGCAAAAACACTGCAGTTTATTTAAAAAGCTCTCTTCAGATTCCACAGAATATCTATTGCTTGTGGCAAATGCAAAAGACAGGAAGCAAATCTGTCCCTGCACATGAGCTGTATAAAGTGTCAGGAACACCAGACTATATAATGCAATACAAGTATTTGGATAGCGATGACTCAACAACCCTCTGACAAAGCTTTTTACCAAAACTCAACGTTGACTTTTACAAAGGTCATATGTTTTTAAGGGCTGCATTATAATGTACAGGTGTTTTTGTAATGTCCAACCTATATACAGCGCATTTGTTTAATTTTGAATATCTGGTGCAAAGTGCCAATTCTTTCTCTTTTTGTTATGTACCTGATTGAACCAGCAAACAGCAAACTCTTGAAATACCTGTCACTAATTCTCCTCCTCCTTTTCTTCCTCACCTTCTCTAGCACATGGTCAAGTACAGATACCTACCCTTCACACATGGGAAGAGGACATACAAAGGCAAGGACGAAACAGGGAAAACTTTTGCTAGTTAAAAACTCCCTCCTACCCTTCCCTTCCTTCTCATTTGAAATTATTATCTGTCACAGCTAGGGAGTGACCAGGGTTAGAGATTTATTTTCTTTTTCTTTTTTTGTAAGTGGGACAGTAACATGAAAACATAACATGAAACATACGAGTTTTGATCCATGAGTCAGTGTTGGATCAGGATATGAGCAGCACGGATCAAATTAGTTGGGATATATGGCCTTTGTCCAACTTTTTTTTTTTTTTTTTTGAGGACCACAATCCTCAGTTTAGGATTGGTCTGCATTTGCTCATTAGTAGATGAGACTCAGTGTTGCCTTTTGCCTTTTTAAACCCATGGGGTAAGTATAAAATCATCAAGAAGGAAACGCACTGGGGAAAAAAAAAATGCAGTGAAATTTTTTCTTTTTTCTTTTTTCTTTCTCAATGATGGTGATTCCAATCCTTCTCCCAAGTGAAATAAATTTGCCAACTTTTGATTTAATATATTGGTACCTACTTATTTGTAAAAAGTTATACATTGAAAGTCAGTAGTGTTAGTAGCAAAATAACATGATTAGATGTGTAAGATGAAATCTGGAGGAAATGCAACTGTCTTTGAGCTGTGCGAACGCTTTGGTGTCTCAGCCAGTTGTCTTCTGTGTAAAGTGCAGACACATTGGAGAAATTAGTCACATTTACCTTGAATATGCATTCATGACAGTTAAAAGAAACAAACACCTTGTAATTCATCTCTTCAAATGATTAAGTTTAGCACAAATCATTTTGTTTAAATATTTATCTTGAATTGCCTACTGAATCTCTGTGTATTACCTGATTCTTGCTAGCATAGCCAGCAGAGCAAGGTCAATATGGTTCATTATCGGTGACTTAATTTGAATCTTTAGCCACCCACCACTTCATTGAATGCATAATTTAAAGCGAGTGTCACTAACCCCAGCCCATTTAGCCTCCTGTAGTCTGTAGTCTAACTTTAAATCAGTTCTTTCTACTTTTGCGCCTTTGTAGAGTTGAACAGATGGGATACCTTGTCGTCGGCCACCCCTAAACCAAATTTCTTAATTATTTTTGGGGGCAAGTCAATGAATTTGCATGACCTCAGATTTTTACACCCTTGGATGTGGATAATTATTCATAATATACTGTGTCTTTAAAGTGCACATTCGGTACTCAAGTCCAATTTATAACAAGGTCTAAACTGAGATATTAGTCAAGCAATCACATGTTTCCCCTGTTGACCTTTGCTCTTTGAAACATTTAGCCATCTGTGTTTCAAAGCCTAAGGTCCATTCGATTTGTGTAGACTAGCTGTTGTAGTCCTTTATAATCTGTGTTTACTTTGAAAAACATTATGGTAAATATAGTCATTCCAAGCAAACTTTTGTTCTCTTTCTTTTGCAGAGGAAACATAAGAAAACAGAGATTGAGAGCTTTTATTATAACAAATGGATGAAGTGGGTGTCGATCACACTTTCCTTTCTTTAAACCTGTTGGGGGGGTGGGGTTTCTCAATTTTTATCAGAATGCTGGGGATTATCTGTCATTACTTAACTTTGATCAGCACTGTAGTAAGGGATCAAAACATTTTCCTGTAAAAAGTTTGTGTTTCAAAGGACTGTCTGGAGGATTTGTATATATATATATTTTAAAATATGAAATTTTTTTGAGATTATTTTTATTTTTGTTTTTTCTTCCAACCACCATACTGTTTCCAAGTGTTTAAATCCATTTCAATTGAAACTGATGAAAGCAGAACTGGTTAATTGGGTTCTAGATTTGATGAATTAAATATGTTTCTCATGGATTGCATGTTATTGTTTTCTTGTGCTACAGTTATAAACAAAAACTTGATTTTAATAACTTAAGTGTAATTTTTTCACTCCAAATGCTATTAAAGAGGCTGTGTCCCCTCAAACAGTACATGTGTCTCGGCTTCGAATTTTGTAGGTTTTCATGGAGGACAAACAAACAAATAAAATCATCTGGACCCAAGTGGTGACTATGCTTCTATAAGTCGACTCAGTTTCAGTACAGTTAATAATTCACCTACTATTGTCCGCACTCAAACATCTCTAGATCGGTGGTGACAAAAAACTCAAAACAGGCCACATTCAGAAGTGCTCGTCAAACAGTTTATTCATCACTCGGGCTCTGTAGCAGAATTTTGGATAATTTTTGCATACTGATTTGTGTATTCTCCTCTTGTATAGGTGCCTATTTATGACACCTTATGCACTCCCAAATTCATGGAAATGAGGCTTAGCTGTCAACAGTGTCTCATCACTTTGTGAAAGTAGAGGCTAATCCCCTGAGAGTTAACATTAGATTGGTAAACAACATTACAACTACAACAATGAAACGCGGTCTTGCTTGTCTGTGTCTCTTGGGCGCTTTTCTACAAGCCTTGGCTCAATGCGCTGCCCCAACCTCAGAGTTTCAGCTGGAAGGAGATTATTTGATAGGTGGACTTTTTGATATTCATCACGCCAATGTCTCTGTTTATCATGACAGACCAGAATTTACTGACTGCTCCAGGTGAGTTTTCTAATAAGTTAATACCTTTGAAACTAAGGAAGAGAGACGATTATGTTATTAAGAGTTTAGCCTCAAACTTCAGGTCAATGGATATAGCTAGTAATGTATTTCTCAAAAAAACGTATGAATTAATTGTTCTATTTCCAAAATTGGACATCAAGTCTACATTATTGAACTCAGTCCATCCTATACGAAATCCTCTTTTAGATATTCTTGTCTCCCTTCATACAGTAATACTTGAACAATTAAACTAAGCTTGACACTATCTTTCCTACAGAAACACTAAACAGGCTAAACATTTTTAATTCAATTATTTCCTGATTACAAGTTAATTTACCTGGTTAAGGCCAATTTTTTGAGATAATAAACACCTTACAACATTTTTTCCCTGTAGTAAATTGATATGAGGGAATTTACGTTATGGCTAATTATTGAAAGAGAAAGAGAGGCTTACATACAGTGGTCAACTTGAAGCAGACCACAAATAGGCCCATGATAGGGCAGGGGTCTCTGGGGTCTCTCAGTTCAGACAGCACAGGGACTGGATTAAGTGCAGTGGACATTGGGACAATCGCTGCCCACGCCATCTTAACGTCCACCCAGTGGTTTGCTTTACAACTTCCAAACCTACCCCACAGAGCAAAGCTTCATTATCCTGAGATAACAAAATAATTAACTTGTGATCTTGCCATAACATCATTAAAAAAAGTGTTTGAATCCAAGATTGCTTCATACTTCTGTACCTTTCTCTGTCCTCAGTCAGCCCTTCATTCTGTCAAGCTATCGGAGGTTTCAGATGATGAGATTCTCTGTAGAAGAAATCAATAACTCTACCAACCTACTCCCAAATGTGTCTCTTGGCTATGAAATATTTGACCACTGCTCAGATACACAGAATTTCCCAGGTATTTTAAACCTCCTCTCAGACAATGGCTTGATCCAACCTTGGCATGAACCACACAAGAATCTGTCCAAAGTGATAGCATTGGTTGGCACTTATACAAGCACTGAGACACGGACTGTAGCCCCACTCTTCATGATGGATCTCATTCCCATGGTAAGTTTGCCAACTATTGTTTTAACATATTTTTATCAAATAGATGAAGTGATAAAACAATTTAATATCAAGCTAATAACATTTGAGATTTTCTTTGTCAATGATAATAATCCCAATTTCTCCATTACTCTTTTCACAGGTCAGCTATGGAGCTTCCAGTTCTGTTTTCTCAAGAAAACAGAATTTCCCCTCTTTCTTACGAACAGTGCATCCCAATAAAGACGTCATAGAAGTGATTGTAAAGATTTTGCAGCACTTCAACTGGCGCTGGGTTGCTTTCCTTAACATTGATGATGACTATGGCAATGATGGACGGACATTGTTCATAAATATGATTAAGGACACTGAGATCTGCCTGGCCTACACCAAAGCCCTCGATTCTAATACAGATTACACCCCAGTATTCAAACAGATACAGGCACAGAGGATACGTATCATTATTGTTTTCGCTCCTGAATGGACTGCTGAAGCTCTCATTAAGGCAGCAATACAACTGGAAATCAAAGACAAGGTGTGGATAGCAGGAGATGCATGGTCCTTAAACAAGACCAAGAGAAAGAATCGAAAATATTGGAACTGTACTTGGGTTGCTGAGCAATAGACCTATACCTGGTTTCAGTGATTTTATCATGCTTCAAAAGCCAGAATCATTTGTGAAGGAATGCAGAACAACAGTTGTTTTGTAATCAGTTTGCAACTGCTAGTGAACCCTGAGTGCTGAAGAATATCGATCTGCAGACCATCTTTCTCTTTTCCTGTTTATTCTGGCTGTAATGCATCCTCATGGCCTTAAACAAAACTCTGCAATGGGGCTGGCAATTGTAATCAATTTACAGTTACCACCCATGGTAAGTATAATATAAATTTAGAAATCAAGATATGTATTCTTACTGGCTTATTCTTTGTGAAGTTCAATTTATCTTACATGACAAATAATTGAAAGTGAACCAATCAACAAACAGTCTGGTGTGTTTTACTACATAATATCATCAAACCTGATTTGCCAGTCCACCATTAGAAATCATTAATAGATCCTCTACCCTGATGGCTTCAGTAGTATATTTTAAATAATAAAAAAAGAAATTCGAGATACAGATGTGTAGAATCTGAAATCCTAATAGATGGCCACACACTGGCAGTTCCTCCCTCAACCACCAGAATGATTATAAAAAAATAATTTAATAAACACCCTCATGTTCATCTGTGAAGCACATGCAACTAATCTGAACTTTTGTGACCACCATCGGTTCCTAGC